TGGGCTAACATTATTTGTCTTCATTTACCTATTAGGAACCAGGGCACAGATTTCACAAATAGCTTAAGATCACATAGTATTTTCTTGCTGTTTCATATATTACTATGATTTTATTAATGGATCCATTAAAATACACAAATTATCACTGAGGTCTTTCTAGTTACCTCTATATTCTAGAGTTAACAAAAAATAGTGTCATGCACATAGAAAATTAATATGTGCTACAAAATAAACCATTAAAAGCACTATAGAGGGCTGGAATTGTGGCTCAGTGGTAGGATGCTTGCCTAGCATGTGTGAGGCACTGGGTTCGATTCCCAGTACTTCATATAAATAAATAAAGTCCATTGACAACTAAATAAATATTTTTAAAAAAGTACTGTATAGAGTTAGAATCAAATTTCTATGGGACATGTTGGAGAAAGTTTTCATGACTCTGTGCAGTAAGTGGCAGGATTATTGAGTGCAAGGAATCAAGAAAACATCCAAGGGAAAGGAAGTAGTGTAACAAGGATAAAATTCTTGAAGAGATTGTGGTGTGAAGATATGCAGTGTGAAATAGGCTGAGAATATGCAGGTTACTGGGAACTTTATACACTAGCCTACAGCATTGAACTATAGGCAAAGGGGAACTAGCAGCACTGGAATTAAGAAAGCAGACAATGAATTCAAATCCAAGAATGAAGTTCTGGTTAGGGTTTTTACTAGCTGTTGGGCGAGCAGTGTAAATACTCTATTCCTCCATTTATTCTTCTTTGAAAGAAATTAAATCACACATAAATGCGACACACATAACAGCTCTCATTGAGGTATTTAAACCACTGAATATACTAATACACAAAGAATGTTTTGATACTGACCATGGACAGACCTATTATGGATTAAAATTAATATTCCCATTATGTGAATTTGGTTTTGGGCAGTATATTCTGCATAGTTTAACTTGAAATGAGAAAGAATGGGAGTAGAAGGATAGATCAGAAGGCAATTGCAAAAGAAGTAAAATGAAAGGTGGGTTCTATATTAAGGCAAGGAAGAGTTTCAAGCTTTCATGCCAACATTTACTTGTAGACTAATAGTTTTAGGCCAATCACTTAATATCTTGAATCAAAAGACCTGTTTCTTTCAATATAAAATGGCATAATAAAAATATAAGTGATTTAGGGAGATTGAGAATTAAAGTATTAACTATGTGTTTCAAAAGTAGTGGATACTCAATAAAATGAAAATTTAAAAAAATGCTTATTATTTTTATTAATACTAGGCACTTAAGAAAACAAAGGACAGAATATAGACGTGGAGGAGAAGAAACAGATGAGTTTATATATGGAGGTAAAAATTTTATAATTACTGACAACCTAGACTCAGGAGTGAAGAATCTATGAAAAGATAATTCTTGAATTTTGCTAATAATAGAGTAGCAGTGATACTTTAGTTTATGTCAGGTATGACCTGGCTTTCAATTGCCCTTCTTTCTTGCTCAAAAGGGATCTGGCAGGCTTACAGGGTTATTTGATAGAAGCTTACGTTCACCCTTTTAATCCTCTGCCCATTCCTTTTATAAAGTAGGATCTACTACTCACTATGCCCATAAACAAGGTCTTCCATCTGATGAAGCTGTGTTGAATACTTATGGTGACTTATACTGGTGGCTCCCACATCTTACCAGTATCACTTAAATGTAATTATATGTTGTTCTTTTTCATTTGTTTTGTCTTGCTCTCTCACTGATACTCTAGCAGATTGGGATAATTCTGGTATGTCCATTATATTCAGGGCACCCAATTAACATGGTGAACTTAGTTATCTGTCTTGTCATCTTTACCTACTAGAATACTCCCAAACATATGATGGTGATTTTCCAGTCAGGAGATAACTCATATCCCCCAAATGTCAAGTGATCAATTTTGAACATCTGAACCCATTTTAGAAAGAAATTTTTAACTTGTTTTATAACATAAAAGACAAGTTTTTTTCCCCTTTTAGACTCTGACAAATCTACATGCCTTTGCTTTTAGTAATTTTAGATGAAAAAGAAAATCTGGTCTTTACTCCTTTTTTCATCCCAGGACTTTGGAGTACACGTGGTTTGTATCCATGCAGATACACTGAGCCGTTGGAGTAAGTGTGCCTGGTTGATTTTTGGATAATTTTTTCCATGGTCCAGACTCAACTCATCTCCTCTTAGGGCTAGAAAATTCTGGTCACCTATCAGTGATGGGGAAGCTTCAGGACATCGCTTTAGTTTAATTTGGTTCTTATTCTTGTCAATACTCTTGGCTTATAAAATGGTCTCCACTTAGGTAGTAATATCAGTTTGTGGCATTTATATAGTAGTTCATTTCTATCTTAATCCCTTCTATTCTTCGGAGGGAGGCTTCCGTGTCTCTATTCAACCCCTTCCCTTAGGTGTATGTATATAACTTCATTTGATCTGGGCAGGCGTGCAATTCCTTTTTACTTCTCCAAATTTTCTGTGTGCATAGAACAGCTGAAGTTTGTGCGTTTCCCATAATTTACTCCTAGGCTCACCATATGATATCTTTTTCCTTTCCTGCTACTGGGGATTCCAAAGCAAGCATGCAGCCTAAGGGAAACTCCAGACAAAAGTAGGTGTTATATGTTCACATTTGGCCTCAAATCAGGAGACACATGTCAAACTCTTTCCAAAAACTGTTCCTCCTACTCTGTTCTAATATACCAAGGAGACATGGGAGTTCTACAGTCCCACCAGCAATCAGGGAGCAGGATGATCATTTTTCTTTTACCATGTCAGATCCACTTCCTGCAACATCTTTGGAGTGCCCCTCCTCACCTTCTCTTCAGGAGATGGGGAGCACCAATTTTCTTCCTCACTAGGTGGGGAAAAGAAGAACTTCCTATAGAGGACATTGCACTTCCTCAAAAACCAAGGATGCCTCACTCTGGGCCATCAGTTCTTGAGACCCTCTCTCCATTCTTCTTTTTGGACTACAGCTGTTTCTACTGACTCTTAGTAAGACCCATGGGAAGTGTCGGGCCAAAAATATTTGATCCCCAATCTTTTTTACTTTATCTTTGGACTAGAAACTATCCTTGAACAAGAGAAAAAAATCATTTAACATCACATTATCTACCTTCCAGCATTGGTATTGAATGGATATAACCAGAGTTAATTAATTCACTTTGCTTCAAAAAGAATTTCTGCTATTTAAAAAATACTATAAATAAAAGCAATATTTAGTTTTAGAGTAAAACTGAGGTGCCTTGCCCATTTCTTAAGTATCCTGACCTTCTGGTTAACTTGGGGATGATTATCATACTGCAACTGTACAGAAGACAAATTGGTTCATTAACTCCAGCCTGGAACAGTATGATGATGTCCATTTAGACTTCTGGAAAGTTTTCAGGACTCATTTTTAGATAAGCCCAGCTGAAGCCTGAACACCTTACTATAAGATAATCCAAACTTATCTTTTTACTTATATAAATAACAGTAAAAAACTATTTCAGAGAGCACTTTCCCTTTCTTACTTGAGAGAAACATGCTCCCATTTTTCCTGTTTTTAGCATAATTTCCAGCCTGCTATTTTTCACCTAATCTTTAAGAATCATTATTTCATAGAACTTTTACTGGTATAAAACAGTTATCAGAGATTGTCCATGCTGGAAAGAATTTACTGAATAATCAGTAAAGTTAGAATATCTGTAATATGTCTTCACACGAAATACTCATATCAGCTCGGCATGGTGGTGCACATGCCAGTGGATAGAGAGTTCAAGGCCAGCCTCAGCAAAAGCAAGGTGCTAAGGAACTCAGTGAGACCCTGTCTCAAAATTAAGTACAAAATAGAGCCGGGGATGTGGCTCAGTGGTTGAGTGCCCCTGAATTCAATCCCCAGTATCCAGGGTACAGGAGAACAGGATGCTATTCAGTCTGTATTCTTTTGTGGGCTGAAAATACTGTAGTTATAATAAATTAGCTGAAATTGTTTTAACTGAAATCTACCCAGTGGCTTAAAATATTGCTAGATTAATTGTGAGAATTAGAAACAATTTTCTGTGATGATTAGGGAGTATAATTTCTGAATGCACTTGATTTTATCCGCACCATTAAAAAATAAAGCTTGATGAAAATTCTCTGCTTTGCATTTCAAGCTTTTCTCCACTTATCAGTTCTCATGCAACCATAAAAGACTCAGGGAAAAGAATAAAACAGAAAAAGGATATTAAAATTATGGCTAGCTTTTGGTCAAAACATAGAACAAAGTTGTCCAAAATATTGTCACAATTCTTCTACTGACAATTCATTCCATTCTAGAGTCTTGTCATACCTCCCGGATTCATTGTCAGACTATTATATTCAGAACGGCTGTTGAAAACTTTCAGCACTTAGAAATGCTCTTGAGACATATAAAAATGTCTTTATTTAGAATGGAACATATAATACCTGCCAAATTTGTAGGTTTGAAACCACCTTCAATAAGAATTAAAAGGCCCTCTTCCTTGCTGAAATAGGACTATCAATATATGACTTGTCTGCTTCTGAGAAATAGTGGGTTCCTGTTTCTGACGTTGCAATTTAGTTTAAAATCACTTTATGATGACAGGGTACATAAAGATGATAAAACTATAAAGATGACAGTCTAATCTTCAAAGATGACCGATCGTCGATAAAAGATTAAATAACATAAACATCTGCAATACCAGATTATCAGCTGGTTGGCACACTCTCAGTATTGAAGTATACCAAGAGGCTCCTGATAAGTAAAATGCTTTTTCCTATGTTATGCAGAAATCAATCCTCCCCCAAAAGGGACAAATGAATTATAATTGCTTAGAATTTATAAGGTATATATTTTTCTCAGTTGCAATGCAATATATGTAAAATATTAATAAAGCATATACTGTACAGTGTTCAAAATCCTTTCTCCTTAAAAATAAAATACCTGATTGCTGGAAATTTTAAGCACCCCTTAATAATTTTTTTAAATTTTAATAACAATTTTATATATACGTACAAGAATGATTAGACATGCTGGTCCTATGAAACTCCAAATAAAGTTGTTTTCTGTGCTAAGCCAACATCTGAAAAAAAAAAAAAAAACAGTAAAGTCCATAAATATGTTTTTCCATACTTTAACAAGCAACATTTTCAAAGACATGCTAAATATATTCAGAAATGTCTTTCAAATGCTTAAGAACTTAACTTACACTTTGGTGGTGCCATAATATCTATATCCTAATGCTGCCGAAAATCCAACCACTACAGCTGGGCTGAGATAGCCAAAGATATAAAAATTCTTGTGCAAAAATCCCTTGTTGTAGATAACTCCCACAACAATGAGATAGAGGTGTATGCCTTCAATACACATCCATGCAAAGGCAGCTAAGAAGAAGTAATGAAGCAGCCCAGCAATGATTGAACAGAAGAGCTAGAAATAAAAGAAAGAATCCATAAGCATTTGCTTTTAAAATTATCATAACATAAAATCTTGAATTCCTCCATAAATTATGCCACTATGCATGATGGATGACATTAAAATACTCCTGTCATGTCAGTTTTTAAAGATGTGCTATTTCTAGTTGATTTAGAAGAACTGTGCTTCAACAATAGAAGACATTAACTAGTCCTGTGATAGAGCTAAGTTATGGCCCTTGTGCAAAGACATTCTTTGTATAAATTTACATTGTGTAGAAAATTGTGGGTTATTCACATGTAAACCATGGAATCTTGGTGATTATGTTATATTTAAGGTTACTTCTGCTTTGGACACATCTATATTCTCCTTTATTTTATTCAGGCTCAAAAAAAGAAAAAAAAATATTTGTAATAAACACTATAAGGATTATTTTTGGAGAAAGGATGATATTGGGAGACAACTGAAAGAGGAAATAGGCATTGAGGGATGGTGGGAGGTGTGTTAAATTGAAAGATGTCCTAATAATGTTATAAAACAAACAAACAAAAAATTATGTTAGGAGTTTATAGTCCATTGCATAGTATTTAAAATAGATACGATGTACACCCAATTTCCAGAAGAAAACCTTGATAGCTGATTTTTAGTTTCAGTCCTTGGGACTTTTTTAAGGAGAATGGAATTCTGGAGGCACTTTGCCATTGTTTGATCATGACAATACACTTCTGTAATCTCCAGCTTCAAGGAGTGCAGAGACATAGGTTCTAGCTGCTGCTGTTGTAGGGAATCCATTGCCACGTTCACACTTCCTGCTGGCTGCTGCCTGCCAACCAGCCACCCATAGAGCAGGCTACTACCATGTTCCTGTTCCTGAGAGGTAAGGATACCTTGGACAGGTGACTTTGGTTCATGGACCCCTGTAAGAACTCCTTGGCAACTGTGCTGAACTTCTTTAGAACTGTTGTGTAAACTCTCCACCCATTCCTGTTTTTCCTCTTTTCTTCAATTCCTTTTTTTCTCCTCCTTTCTCTCAGCTCAAACCTGCATGGTGCGCTGTTGCTCTCCAAGCTCCTGTGGCCCATTTTATCCTCATAGTCACTTCCACTAAAAAAATTATTGCATATGTGATCCCATTTCAGTGTCTGCCTCTAGGAGGACCTAGATGAACCTAATATGAAATTGTTCGGTAAGACTGCATCCATAATCACGGGAAAGGGGCATTAATAAAGTGTAGAGAATAGGTAGAATCAATTGATTATATTTTATTCTATGAAGTCTAGTTGCTTTTATGTTCTGTTGGATCCTAAGGTGAACTTTGTTTCCAATTCTCTCTCTTCTTGATCTTTAATGACCATTTAAACACAAAACATTCTTTAGTTTATTGTGAAATTTTAATTTGTCCCAATAATTCAACATAATGAGGAACATTTTTGCTTAATGGGCTCAAGTTGCTTAGACACATTAGTGTTATCAAACTTAGGAAAGATAGGTTAAGAAAAATTTATACAGTATGTTTGACCCATTAAGACCTTCATTACAATTCATGTTTCTAGGACACAAATATTTAAGAAAGAGAAAAATTTAAAATAAAATAGAGAGCAGGTAAATCTACCCACCTTATTAGTATTTGTATTGATTCCAACAAGAAAAACAAGTTCTGCAAGGAAGAGGCTACAGCAGAGATTTTTGTGAATTGTTGTCCTGGTGCTTTGAATTTCACTGAAGAACCAGAAGGTAAAAATGCATATGGCAAGACAAATCAGTGAAATAATTATTCCTAGCTGAGTGATCCTTGTAAGAATATTATAATCTTTAATGCCCTAAGGAGAAATAATAATAAAGCTGTTAAAAGAATAACTCAGTAACCTGTCAAAGAAATTACAACATGTAATGAACTTCCTTTTTTGGTGAACCATTAATCAAAATGTTCATAAAATGTAAAAATACAAATGTGCATTTAGATGAGAAAAATTTTGTACTTTTGAAAATACTCAATATCCAGAAGAATGTGATATAAATCACATAGCACTCACTTCAACAGTACTCTAATCAGTGATTTTTCCCCTTAAACATAGTATTTATTAGTTTATGGTTTAATGATATTATCATCATTGGTTTCATGATATTGGAAAGACAATTTATTGTTATAATGGGAAATGGTTAATTAAAATGGATTTATCAGTGGTAAGTCCAACTCTTATTTCTATGCAGTGATTTATCTAAAACACATTAAACAAAGGTATAAGAAAAGCTGAATATGTGGAAGACCCAAATAGCATAGTCCAAAGACTCTGAAATGGAAAATGTTTTATTCTAATTAGATAAGTATTTATCTTTACATATAGAATAGAGACTTCTTTGCTTAATTAACACCCTGAAAAAATAATCTTTAAAATTGACATTACTTTAGGCAGGCTTGTTGGGCCATTTTATAAACTTAATAATGAATTCTAAGTATGAATGGATGCAAATATATAATCTCATGAAGATATGATTCAGAGATATAAAATAACAAAGCATAAAATAAATAAGTAAAATATTACTAAAGGAAAATACACTTTATGAAATTAGTCATCTTAGATTTTTCATGTTTTAAAATCTTGCAGGATTCTATATTGCTAAAAACATGATATTAGTTATGTGTCATTTTTGAATAAATATTAAATATTTGAGGGTACTCTGTTACTATTAAAAATAAATTTTCAATACAAAGACAAAGACCCTTAGATTCCATAAATCATTATAATGTTCAAGTGGCGTAAAACACTAAGAATTTATAGATGGATATTTAATTTAATATGTAATCTACTAGATATTACAGATTAGATAAATCATAGATTAGAAATAACCTAAAGTCCAAACTAGATATATTTTATAAGGCAGAGAGAAAGAGACTAAAAGAAATATAAAATATGTTTGGTTTTATAATTATATTATATATGCTATTTATATCCAAGAAAAACATAAAATTAATTATTCTTTTGAACTGTATGGAATAAAAGCAGAAAAAGAAACATAGCCAGATTTATATATATGCAGTGGGAAATTGTCTTACAATTGAAGAACTAGAAGACATCAAAATTGCAAAATGGGTCAGGTGGTTACAACGACAGGAGGTGTGGGTCTCATTTGAGTAAATCAGCTCACAGCCCTCCAAAGACCAGCTGCCATTCATGGTATCAGGTGAATAGTTCCAAAATGCACACTGAGTCCTATACTTATCTGTGATCTGAAAAAGAAACATTTTACTGATGGAAAAAAAGAAAAAGTTACATAATGTTGCTTTAATTTTACTTAAAATACCATTAATACAATTACAATAATGTCTAGAAAATAAAGCATAAAATGAATTCTAATAAATGCAGGTTATTGCTATATGAAAGAATTGAAATTTGTCTTGCAACAATGTTGTTTTATCAATCTTATGTCACAGAGTTGTGATCATTTATATTATTAAAGGAGATCATGGGTATATTTTTTAACTCAATGTATAAACCATCATATGTATCTTTATTAAAAAATGTTCATTATTTACTGAATGTTTGCCCTATCTATGTATTCAAAATATAATACTGAACAAAACATATAAAAATGTTTGTACCCGTGACCTTATATCCTAGTTGGGGATGAAAAGTTATTAAATGTAAAAAGTAAATCTGGGAAAGAGGAAAATGGAAAGGAAGTTGGTGTGAGGAGGTGGTGTCTAAACAGATAACTCCATGAAGGAGGAGTGAGCCCTACAGACTGGGGAACAGAAGGTTCCACACAGTTGAAGTGGCAAATAGAAAACCCTGAAGTGAGAAGACAGGAACCCTTCAGAAGTGTTCAGAAGCCAGTTAAGATACAGCACCATGAATAGGAGAGAGAATAGAGCTGATGAAATCAAACCAGAGCTCCACCACACAGACAAGGAATGGTTGTTCAATAAATAGCAGAACTCTTATGGGCAACAGTTGGAGCACTGACACAGTCTGAGTTTGGGGTGAGTCTGAGAATACAAGGATGGAGCTCAGTTGAAGAGATGACTAGAAGGTTTCTAGATCAGGCTACATGGAGAAAATGGAACACCTTTATCTAATGGACTGGAAATTTGATCCAATGCCAGTGGAAACAGAGGGACTGTAAGACTGGGGGTCCAAAGTCCACTGAACACACAGATGCCATTCAGGAAAACAGCAGTCAAGTGAGGTCTGTTTACACACTGGACCTCTACCCCCGACCACCCCCCACCACCCACATTTTCTTAGTTCTCTTAATCCTTGAAGCTAAGCTACCAACCTTATGCAGGAAAGGAAAACGGATAGGCTCAAGAGAAATTGGCTTTTGTTACTGATCTTTAAGTTCTTCCAATGCCAGAGCCAGGAACCTCCCCATGAAAACTCTCTGGTGAAGCACATCACTGCCACAAACCTACTAGAGCATGCTCTGCCTCAGTATTAAACAGGATGGATAGCCATGAACCACTAGACACCAGAGAACAAGCTCTAACACCAAAGAGGTAGGACCAAGGCTATCCAGCCAAACAGGAAATCAGGAGGAAGGCCATGCAGGCTGCAGATAATAGTTTAAAAACATACATGAAGTGTATCTGACAGAAGAGATACTACATTTGTTAAACAAGATTAAGGTCAAAAAAGAGTGAAACTTTTCCATGAAAATTGTATATAAAGGAAAACTAAAAAAAAAACATTTGGATGAAAAGAGAAATAAAAAATATGAAACTTTATTTTTTTTTTTAAACTAGAAGCTTGACTTGAAAGTCTAACAAAGAAAAGGAGGAAGAGAAAAAGAGAACAGAGAAACTGGACAAGGAGAGGAGAAATTAGCAAAGAATTAACAGAATATTTTCTAGAATTGATGCCGAAACATTTTCAGACTATACAGACTCTCAAAATTTCTACTATAACTAACGAATAAAGACCCATACTGAAGTCCAGCTCAAAGATTTTGGAATACTGAGAATAATTTTAAGATCTGAGAAGTCTGAAAGAGAGAGAGAGAGAGAGAGAGAGAGAGAGAGAGAGAGAGAGAGAGAGAAACAGAGAGAGAGGGAGGGGATAAAGAGAGGGAATGAGAGAGAACATGTAAAAGACTATAAATTTTAATTAAAATATTAATTGTGTTCTACTTCTCCAGGTTAGCCTTGAAGTTAGAAGATATGAGCAAGGTCTAGAAAGTTCTGAGAAAAAACATTTATAATTCATAACCCAATGTCATGCATCATGATATTATCTTGTAGGGTCAGATGGGGCAAGACACTGAAGATAGCAGGAAACAGTTTTATTTAGCTGTAGCCAGGTTCAGAGGGCACAGCTTTTGCTGTAATCAATTAATCCCCTGAACCCCAAGTTCAGGTAATTTAAGAATTTTATACCCAGCATGTAAGAGCAGAGGCTCAGAAGTTCACACTCTGCAGAAGTTCACATAAAAACAGCTTTTTCTTTCCCTGTTCTGGGCAAGTTAACCCTTCAAGGACAACACCTGAGAAGGAGAGAGTGTCTTCTTCCCTTTCTTTCCTCCCTCTGCCAGATGTTACCAATTGGTAACTTCTCTTAGAAATGTAGTCATCTCTGTGAAGCCCCAGCTCAAGGCCAGAGACCTTGTTAAAGGACTTGTCTTTTTTTTTTTTATCACATTTTGCATTTGCAAACATACTTCTACAAAGTACTATACTGAATTCATGTTTGTGAAAAACAAGTAAAGGGCGTTTAGCACCTGGAGTGCTGATTTCTTCCAGGCCAGTGGCCAAGTAAAACAGGGCAACAGGAAAATAGGAAGTTTAACTACATTGAACTTTTTTTGTAGAGTCTCTTTTGCTTATAGTCTTAAAATCAATTACGGTGAAGATTTCTGGCAAAACTTGGTTAAGATTTTTTTGTGTGGAGAAGGGAGTGCCACTACAATCTAGAAGACACAATGGTAAGATATAAACAAAATATTGATACATAGATAGATAGTATAGATAGATATGTAGGTATAGATGATATATTAATATATAATATGATATATTTGATATATAAAAGCCTATTAGTTTTTCTTTCCTGCATAAAGGGCTGGAGCTTAGCTTCAAGGACTAAGATAACATATATATATATATATATATATATATATATATATATATATAGAGAGAGAGAGAGAGAGAGAGAGAGGATATATATAGATAGGTATATAAATATAGATATAATATACATAGATATAATATAGATATATATCTCTCTCTCTCACACACACACACACACCCACACAAGTATCAATGAGTATTTCATACTCACTATAGCTACATCTCTATCTATGAGATATATAACCAGATAATGCAAGGGCTTAAAACGTGACTTTCTATGCTTTTTTTCTCAAGTAGCCACCAGAGAACATGCCACCAAAATACACAAATAAACCAAGAAAAAGGATGAGATTGGCTTGGGGAAACATGGAGCCTGATGCAGAAGAGAGGGGACTGTATGTATAGGGTGATGGTGAGAGGACAGCGAGGCTCATGGTGGCACAGCAACCATAGCATAGATCATAGGGACAGCAACTTTACAGAAAGAAAACTTCTGACAGAGAATCACATGTACTTCTGTGTTTTCAAAGGCATACGGTACCATCATAGAGTTTGGGAACAAATTAGTAATGGATATACAGAAATATAAGCAAACATGTATCAATTACTTTGTAGGAAAAGATTCAGCCTCATGTTTCAGCGGCAAATAACACATTCCAAGTTACAACACTACAGACATTGAAAACTGATTTTATTGGAAATTGGAGGTAAGCATGGGATGATGGGTGGCTCAGGAAGTTTGTCTATCATGGGGGAAAACAGGTAAAAGAACTAAATCTGAATCTTTCAAAGATGACAGTTAGGAGGTAAGACCTATTTTTAGAAGTATAAAATGAAGAGTTACGGAGGTTTGGTGAGATACAAAGGCAAAGAAACTTTAAGAAGTCAGAGACTTGAGTATATTCATTAATTAAGACACTGGAGTAAATGTGGAGAGATCCAGGAAAGATGAGGTAATGGCTGAAGCCAATTCTCTTGGGAATTAGATCATCAAGGATTTGAAGAGTACCAGATTGGGCAAAAGAATGAGGGCTATTGAGAGCAAGGTTCTGAAGGAAGTCTGCAGAGGAATGCCATCCTCTCCAACTGATTGCCAACTGACCACATGCAAATTGTTTAATCTCCTGAAGTCTCAGCTACCTTATGTATAAAATGTGATAACAGTATATCATGCATATGGATCTTATGAGAATTGAATAATTTAGAAATGGCATGATAACACTGTTTTGTACTATTTACTATTATTTTTATTATCAATATTATTACTACTATTAATATTCCTCTGAGGTAATAAAAGGTGCATATCAGTTAGCCAAGTCACAGATAAATTATGGGAGACTCTAAGTCACTAATGCTATTATGTATGAGATATCTTCTGTTTTCTCAGGGAAAATAAAAAGGGGTCAAATTGTCATTCTCAGAGACAGAGGATGCAGGGAATAAACAGAAAGTAAGGGTCATTATTTTGATTTACAAAACATTTGTACAGGTGGGCAGATCAAGGACAATTAAGTCTTTCCATGAATTATTGTGAAGAGGGTTATTTTTTCTTTTCACATGTGTGCTTTATGTTTTGTTTCTTTGTCAAAAGAAAAAAAGTGAAGTGGGTCGTCTTTGCAACTTTAAGCTACAAAAACCTTTAGTATCTCTGATCACAAAAGCATGAGAATCAAAATTAAAAATAGACAAATAAGATTCCATCAAACTTAAAGTCTTCTCTACAGCAAAGTACACAATAGAGTGAAATAACAAGGTACAGAATAGGAAAATATGTTTGCTAACTACACATCAGACAAGGGGCTAATATCAAGTATACATAAAAAACTAGAAAAGAAAAAAAATAGGAACAATAAAAACAGCCTTATTAAAAATGAGAAATAGGCATAAATAGACATTCCTCAGAGAAGATATACAAATGGCAACTTGTTTGAAAAAAATTCCAAGTTCATTAATTATAATTGTGAGATATCACTTCACATCTGTTAGGATGGCTATTATGAAAAGACAAAAGTTAATAAGTGCTAGAAAGGATGAGCAAAGGGAACCCTTGAATACTGTTGGTAGAAATGTAAGTTAGTACAGCCATGATGGAAAAAAAGTATGGAGATTCCTCAAACAAATTAAAAATGGAACTACTATATAATCCAATGATCTCACTAGTGATTGTATATCCAAAGGAAATGACAAAAGCATGTTAAAGAGATATCTGCACTCTCATGTTTACTGAAGCACTATTCACAGTAGCAAAGAAATGAGAACAACCTAAGGATCCATCAACTGATGAATGGATAAAAAAATGTGGTACATGCACCCAAAGGAATACTATATAGCCACAAAAAGAATGAATTCCCACCATTTGTGATTACAAGTATGGAACTGGAAATAATTATGTTCCATGAAGTAAACCAGAAACAGAAAGACAAGCATCATAAAATCTCACTTAATCATGGAATAAAAGATGATGTCATAGAAGTTGACAATAAAATGGTGGCTGCCAAAAGAGAGGAGAATAGGAGGAAGAGAGGAATGGGGAAAGGCTTATTAATAGGTGCTAAGTTATGCTTGAAGAGAAAGAATTTCTGTTGTGTTACTTTGCATACTTGAGTGACCATGGAAATGATGTATACTGTATATGTCAAAAATCAAAAAGAAAAGATTTTGAATGTTTTCATCATAAAGAAATGAAGTTTTAAGAGACAGATATGTTTAACCTGATTTAAAACATTATGTAATATATACATTTATTGAAATATCATGATACCCCATAAATATATATAATTTTTATGTTTTTATGTATTAGTTAAATATAAATTTAAATAAAAAATGAAAACTATGTCCAAGATTCCATTCTTAAAAAACTCACACTTCTTTTTCTCTCTGTAATGCTTATCATTGTTTACCTATTATTTACTTGAATTTTCTATACATTTAGTTGCTTTTATTTAGAAGTCTTCATTGAACAATGACACATCTGCATTATGTGTATGCATATGTATGCTTTTGGTTTAGAAAGTTTCTCCCCACTAACATGAACACATGAATATAATGGCCAGCTTCAAGGTTCTTCAAATAGAGTTTTGAAGGTTTCTTTGACCATGTATAAAAACCAAAATTCTGCTGAAAGCCCAGGAAAATCATCAACTGTACTAAGGTAGCAAACAATCCATGATTTTTGAGTTTCCCTATTCACTGGGAACTAAAATAGCTTGGCTAGTTCAAATGGTGCTTTTTACTATATAGCTTTAATTATATTTGAATTTAAAAATGATTTTGAATAAAAATAAAAGAGTAAAGTGGTTTTGGCTATGTATGAAATTTTATAAAAGTCTGTATGATTTTGTTTTACTCCACACCCAAATTCCTACAAACATTGTTTTAAATTACAATTATAAACTAAGGACCTCACTTATTGAACAAGTGCATTTATATTTTCAACTGTGATACTTTCTCATGATTCATTTCTTGAAGGCATGACAACTTCCAAAATGAATAGTGTACTTAAAAGAATAAAACTGAAATATAACAATTTTAGAGAACCAAATATGTAAATTCTTTGGTACTGATCAGAAACTTCAAAGAACACTATGAGTATAAAAATGTTTTATAGAAAAGTTAGTTGAAAACATTTTACTCTCTTATTTTTACATCCATATTTTTAAACTATAAAACTCACATGTATTAAAGTGACAATACCACAACAAAAAAAGTATTTCTCTGAATGTATCACCATCTAAAAAAACAACTTACCTTTATGTGACTTAATGTAAATGTTATTTTTTCCAGTTCATACAATGTGGGTGGATTTGAGTTAACTGAGACAGAAATGACTGAAGAGATGACTCTTTCCTCCTCTTCAGAATTATCAGAAGATTGAGGTTCCAATAAGAAGTTGTCAGATGATGAAAGCAAGGGGCCAATACTTTTATAATATAAAAATGCGACTGCAACATTGCCTATTAATAAAATTCATGTGCTTAGTAAGATTCTTATGAAACAAAAATTATGTTGAAGCTTTTAAACATAAAAATCGAACAAACAAAAATTTTACTCTAAGGAAGCCTTACAAATACACAGATACTGGGCCACACTAAGCCCATGTATACATTATCAAACGATGGTAAGACTGCTATTATTGTCTGATCTCCATGGATCTGAAAATGATCATGAACTGTAGGTTTCCCTTTACACACACAATAGTTAGAGAAAAATAGTTCCAGATTAAGTTACATCTAAATCTTGATCAACCAGAATGTGAAGCATATTCACTTGAAAGGTAAAAGTTTGAGTTATTACTTCCATGTGCAAATATATGAACTGGAGAGATACTGACAGAAAATTATCACAGGTTTATAGAATTCACTCATTAAGTCTCAAATTTTCAGTTCCACAAATATTCCAACCAAGTTGACACAAGTACATTAAGAGAGGTTGGAAATCATAATCTAGAGCTTACATGTAATATTAATATTATTACCTTGCAATTACATTATAACATAATTATATTATTATGGAAATTCATATTATATATATAGTATATTTAAGTTTTTGTGGATGTTCCACATCTGGGCCAGTGGGACAAAATGGGTTAAGAAAGTTTAAGATTGGGTGACTTGCCACTGAGTTTAATGTTATTCTCACTTAACATGCTCTTATTTAATGTGTGCCAGAGGAGGAAGTGGATTGACCTGAGACGCAGCCATTTATGGGGTCCCCTGACATTCCACAATGCAGTGTATTAGAATGTAACCCAATACTGCAGATTTATAAATAAAATAATGATACCATCATCAAAAACAAAGTCCTGTGATAATAAAACTGGAAACCTCCACATCATACTAACAATATGATTCTTAATATTAATTAAGAATTAATAAATAATAATATTACTATTATCAATATCTATTAGTATTCTTCAATATGATTATGTAAGGCAAAAGTTGCCAAAGTGTATCCCTGTGCATATTTCTTATGGTAATTTTAAAAGGCACCACTGGAGATGTTAACAGATTGCTTGAACCACATATAGCACATAGAACATTTTCCTGTCAACTTAGAACACTTATATCAAAGAAACAAATGGGTGTTAGTGTAACACAGTTGGACTAGTGCAATTAGGACTCCAAGAGATTTAGACAAATATCCCAGGCTTTACTGTGGAGAGACAAGGGCCTAAAAACCTTTTCAGCCAATACAACATCTAGTTGATAATAGTGATTTCTTTGGGGTCGTAATAAGAGATGGTCTGAAATCAAATGAAGAATCGAAAGAGCAGGTGGAACCAAAAATTCTATTACTTACTGCTATCTTATCTAAAGACAAATATTATTTAACATCTATTTTTTTTACCTTGGGCAAGGGGTACCATAGAGAATGCTCCAAAATCCCTTTGATTACCTTTAAGAATATTGTTTCAATATTTGTTCATTCTCAAACTTTTGAACCTTTTCCAGTTCTTATGATTTTTCACTCACTCTAGCCCTGATCTAGGTTTGAGCTCTCTTACCAAATCTATATCTTCAAAAACTAGGGGTCAATCACTAATGAAAGAAATTAAAAACCTGGGGTAGTATGAAAAGAGTAGGTAATTTCCTATTAAATCATTACCCATCCTTCCCCATTTTTCTTCTTAATAAAGTTTTATGTTAGTCTTTTTGTGCTATGATCTTTCTAATATCTATTAATATTACCATACCTTTTCTAAGAAGTGGATATAGCCTTTAATTCAATGACTAGAACCAATACTTGAGCATTTTATTAATGGGAAAAAAAAACGCTGAATTCTGGAGGGACTGTACTTTAAATTAACAATTACATAAATTTGTTAAAGGGTTGTCATTCAGTAACTGTTTTTCCTTAGATTTACCTATTTTGTTTTTTGGCCTCTATTTCCTTAAGATGATATTTAGAAAGTTTTTTATTACCATGATCCAATCACGATTTGCAGTACAAACTACTGGAAAACTATTAGTATGACAGAAATTATGTTTTTCTATATGTTAAAAACCAAGATCAATTGTTTCAAACTAGACTATGCAATGAACTCCTTAGAGAATCATTGTTCTCACACTTCTTTATTGCTACTTCTCTTGAGAATAACTAAAAGCATCTTCTCAACAGGACTTTATATGCTTCTCTATTTTGTTGTCTAAATATTATTTGAATTTCATAAGAAATTTAAAAGTAAGCATGTGGAATCTCTCAATAAAAGTCTATTATCTTTTTATTACAAAACCTTGGTCAGAGTATTGAATCTTGTTCTTTTCATCCTCAGCTCCTTTCCTTCATTCTTCTAAAATTCAGCCTATAAAAAATATTAAAAATCAGCTGTTCCCCATGGACCTACTACATATTCCTAAAATGGCAATGTGCATGTTTTAAATAATACATGTGTTTTAGTTATGAATGCTGTCAATAAGTGAAATCACACATAAATATCACTGAGAGGGTATGATCAGTTTGTTAGATTTGCCCTTATATTTAAGATCCAACCTTGAGGAAAATACATTTTCTCATTCTGCTTTATCGAGAGCTGATATTACTATGCCTTTCAATGTCAGTTTATATGTACGATCATTAAATATAACAAAGCTACCATGCAATCCGACAGTATCCTTTTGAGATACTAATTCCATGACAATTTCATCATCTGTCACTATAATGGTTATTTTCAATGTTTTTTTTTTCCCCAACCTCTAAACACTATTCAATGTCTTTGAATTTTCAACAGTTTGTGTTCTTTGGAATTGCCATTAGTATTATATAGAGAGAGACTTAGCTAATTAGAATGTGGTATAACTTAGTGTCAAGGGTTCAAAGGGAGTGTGGTTTAGTTATTTTCCTTCGATTATTTGTTTGGGGGATGTGGTATTGGGGGTTGAACTCAGGAGCACTTAACCACTAAGCCACATCCCCAGCCCTTTTTTGTATTTTATTTAGAAACAGGGTCTGAGTTGTTTATCTACTTGCTAAGTAGTTGAGGCTGGCTTTGAACTTGTGCCTCAGCTTCCCCACCCACTGGTAATACAGGCATGCACCATCTGGCTTTTCCTTTGTTTTATGACTATACGTTTCTTACAATTGTATAGAAAATGACAGGAAGAATGGAGAGGATAATATTGATGAATGAAGAAAAAAAAATCCCTGGTTAGTGCAGTGGAAACAAAACAAAACAAAAAGGCTTTCTTCTGAGAAAGGATGTATACCATGTTCTTAATAAGAAAGAAATCTCATCTTTTTTATGAAATAGTGTCTACACATGAGACTCTGTGTGTCTTGTATATTTTTTTCATTTGTATTTATGACCATCCACATATTATCTGAAGATATATTCTGATTCATGTTTTCCTAGGTAATATATTTTTACCCACATGAGAACAACTGCAATAAAAATTCTTCTATCAGCAGAGATTTTTCTAAGCTTTACTGCTCTGAAAGAGCAGATAAATGGTTAAATTTAAATAGTAGCTACTTGTTTGGTTCTGGTTAGTTTACAGGGAAAATATTGTTGAGATGATTTCTTTTTTAACATCCTCCTGTCTAGTACTGATTCTGTATTAGTTTCTGATAAGCATGGAGATGAATCCATTAACTTTGCACCTTAGTTTCATTATCTATAAAATGAGATATAAATTATATAGTCATTAAGTTGACTGTTGGTGCTAGCATTCTCTGATTCAAGTTTTTAAATAATGCTGTCTTTAGGTTAGTTAAGGGTTTACTGTACAAAGGCTAAGAAATGACAAGTGAAAAGAGAGGTCTAAATAACTTAGTATTTTATAAACATGATCTATATTTTGTTTCACACAATCTCAAATTTGTTTTCATGAAGAAGAATAAAGACCCAGGTCAGCTAAAATTTTCCTCAGGTACTAAAAGTGAAACTTTTAAATACAAATTGTAGATATTCTGTAAATAAACATTAAATATTTTTATATAGGAAAACACACATTATATGTGCATGTGATATAATCAAATGCATGACAACTTTTTATTGCAAATTCATTGATACATTGTATATAAGATTGTCCTACCATCTGAATTGTATGCAGCTTTTCTCTTTGGAAAGATCTTTATATAATCTCCGTCCACATTCATATGGGGATGAATATGTTTCATGTGATATGAATCAAAACAGAAAACTTTGAAAGCTGAAACAAAACCATGAAAATCATAAATTCTCCAAAATTAGTTTACTCACTATTTATAGTCAATGTATTTGTTTATTGAGAGACAGTTTAATCCATCATTATTATATTTCATCTTCCTATTGAATGAACATATTCTGAACATATCCAAGCAGTATAATTTTTTGTTGTTATTGTTTTGGTATTGGGTATTGAACAAGGGGTGCTTTATCACTAAGTTAAATCCCAGCCCTTTTTATTTTTTATTTGAAACACCATCTCAGTAAGTTGCTTAAGGCCTAGCTGAGTTGCTGAGGCTGGTCTGAAACTTGCTTTTCTCCTGCCTTGGCCTCCCCAGTCTCTGGAATTACAGGCTATTAGAGGCATGTCTCAAAGTGCTAAGCAAACAGTACAATTTATATCTTAAAAATATGACGTTTTAATTTTTCATTTCATTATAGCACTCATGGTTTAATTCATACTGAGTTAAATAAATGATAAAATACATATGCATTCAAGGGCCTTCATACATAATTACTAAACCCAAGATAAGCAACATCTACTTAGAGTATGTTATCTATAACATACCTTACTATCTGAAGAGTGAATGAATTAAATTCGTGTGAGATAATTCCCTTAGCTGGTGATTTTTACCTTTTTTGAAGCAATATCTAGAAATTTAGGGCCCCCATATATCAATCAAAATGCTTACAAAGCTAATTTTGATAAGTGGTGAAATCTTGATAATTATTTTTGTAATGTACTATTACATAACAGCTCATAACCCAGAAAATGTAATAACAAAATGCAATGATTATTTAAAAAATATATCTTGCTTCCTTAGGACAACTTTATAGGTATCCTTAATTTGACCCAAGATCATGAATGGTTTTAGTATGAAATTGCATTAAGCAGGGAACTTTTTAACTTACCATATTTACTACTTTATATTATCAAAAAGCAAAGGGTTCCTAAACAGATATTTAAATATACTAAGAAGATCTGATGTCACTATCTTTGGTCAAAATAGATTCTAAGAAGTTATAACATAACTGACTGCAAATAACAGGAAGGTAATGTGCTCTGTATATTTAAATGCTAAACAATTCAGGGATGGGAAAAGATGGATGTGTCAGGAAAGAAGCAGCACCTCTATAGTCATTTTTTCTTCTGTGCAGTACTTTGTTCATATAGCTCCTGCACTATACATCGCTATTCACTTCTACATTGATAAACCTACCGACATTGTTTTAAATACCCATCCCTCCTTTGGAGACTGGCTTGGCTGAAAACACTATTGCTTTGAAATTGACCTTCAAGTCTTACCTACATCAGTTGAATTTGTATCAAATTGAGTGCTCTTTTGGAAATTCTGAGAAATCCTTAATGTAACTTGTTCAGCAGTATGCATCAGTTTTGTAAGATAAGCTCTCCTGTGATTCGTCGACAGTTTGTCCCAGATTATTAATGTATCCTTTTGAACAAAATTATTCATGGTTTTTACAAATTCCTATAAAAGAATGTAAGTCTTAAAAATATTGGAATTCTTCACTAATCCCAAATGTAGGGAAAAAATGTAAAGATGAATTATATTAAAAGTTAAAGCTCAACATACTCACAGTTAGAGTTGCATTAGAAAAGGTGTCCTTGGCTGAGATAGTGTTATTCATGTAACCTAGTAGGGGGGATGATTCAGCTAATATTTCTATATATGTAATTACATCCGTCGGTGAAAGCTCAGTCACAGAATTTCTATAGACTTCTTGTAACAAAGCCATAGGTTCTTTTATTAGTCCCATCTAAGGAAAAATGAGTCCAGACAAGGGATCCAATTTAGACTTTTATAGCTTTTCAAGAATAAAACTCATATGTTAAATTTATTCTAATGTTGGTTTTCTTGTCCAATACATATATATTTAATTACCAGATTAAACTTAAACCAAAACATGCATCAATTAAATCTGAATTATTTTCAAGGGATTAGTAGATAACTTAAAAAGCATAGCATTTTCTTCATAAAAGACACAGAATGTATTTGAATGGACAATTTAAAAAATAACTTTTAAAGTAACTTCCTATATTCCAATATGGAATTATATCTTAACCAAAAAATATGTTAATATTTAAGCTCCTTACTCCTTATAAATATTGATATCCTAAGTGATAAATTATAACTTAATAACTTAAATTAGATTTTAATCAGCCAAAGAAGATTCTTTACTATGTGATCAAAGAGAAATTTGCTTTAGCTGATAGTTGATTGCTCTTGTTGAGATTCATATTTTCAATCACATGACAATAATTTTATGAATGTCTGACTTTATTTGCTCTTTGAAGTATTCACTTTGAAGTACAAAATCTAGTTGTATTCAACTATGTCTTCTTAGAACATAGGATTGGATCAGGAGTCAAAGAAAAGTTTTACTATTTTATTTAATAACTTTCTTTATAGGAAGAAGGTAATTTTCCAGTATACTGAATAATGAACAAATTACATAAATTAAACCTGAAGAAGTTTAAAATCTCCAAACCTCAACACTTTGGAGATTTTAAAACTAATTTTATTTGTAATGGTTACACAATATTTAGACCTTATATGTAAACAATTATCACAAGTTTAGATTGAAGTTCAACTCATACTTACTCTTCTTGAGATAAGACATTGGAATTATTTTAATTGAGACCAAAATGGCAAAAGAGAATAAATTTGAACTCAGTTTGTCTACTTACTTTTTTTAAAGTTTTATTAATATTTTTGGCAATGCAGGCATTATCTAAATGGCAGTTTGCATTCACATTTTCTGCAGGAAAAAAATAGATTACATGGTAAGTTTAAAAAAATATTTTCTTAAGCTAATCATATTGATGACAATGATTTTGGTCACTCATTCATAAAAATTCATAAAATCATATTCTTTAACACTAGAGTTTCCATTTCAATTTTAGAATACATAATGGTTTGTAGAAAATGGAAGAAAGTAGTTTAAAGGATTAAGGAATGAATATTAAATGCATAAAACATGCTGCCTACCTCTTCTGTTAAATAAAACAATACCCTTTTCTTAATTCATTTTATAGACACAAATGAAAGCTGGCACATTTTTTTGGAAATATAACTCTTTGATACTTCACAATTGTGTTGTAAATGTTTTACATAGTTCTTTGACTACACAAAAAAATTTAATAACATAAATTACCTTGGCAGTAAGAGCCATCATTAGGCATGAACTGTGCCTTTCCTGTGGATGTCTGATAACCTTCCTCACAGAAGCAGTTGTACCCACCATTCACATTTTCACACACCGCGTGAGCACCACACACAACTGATTCACTGCACTCATCTATATCTGGAAATATTCGAAAAATTAGCTTTTTAATTTAGTGTTCAAATAGTTGTTTACCTTGCTGATAGCAGTATTACATATGGTTGGTGATTTCATATCAAACTGTACAAGAAAGTAAGAAACATCCTATCATTTGGTAAAAAGCAGAAAAAAACAAGACAACATATTTTTGAACTCTAATTTGGCCAATTCATTTTCACTGTGTACTGAAAATGTCATTCATGGGCCAAATTCTCAAATTGCTTTCTGAATAGCAATGATTCATCAACACAGTCATTTAAATAATTTCCATCATTGAAATGTAACATTTAGGTGTAATTTAATAAAAAAAAACAAATTTAAAAATATACTTTAAATTATTTGTAGTTTAGTCTTAAATTAATGCCAAGGTTTTTTTTTTTTTTTTTTTTTGGTGTGTGGAGGTAATGGGGGATTTAACTCAGGGGCACTCAACCTCTGGATCACATCCCCAGCCCTATTTTGTATTTTATTTAGAGACAGGATCTCACTCAGTTGCTTAGCACCTTGCTTTTGCTGAGGCTGGCTTTGAACTCCTGATCCTCTTGCCTCAGCCTCCCATGCCGCTTGGATTATAGGCACATGCCACCATGCCCAGTTCAATGCCAAGGCTTTTGTGTTTAGAAGCCCAGCTGCAATTTCTTAGAGATATTTTCTAATAATGAATGAACCAGTAACTTTAAATTTGCAATTTGATCTTTAAAAAACCACAGTGTTTACCAGTATTTAAACAGAAGTAATTTAAAGTGACATCTAGCTGGTTATCTTAAATGCAGCTGTTTCTAACTTATCACTTGAAATTGCGATAAGACAAAAACAACCATACTCATACCACTAAAGGCCAGATTTGACAGCAAAACTTCTTCTATATTCTTGAAGTAATTTCCATTAGCTATAAAGGTGATGGGATTCAATTTTAAAGGTTAGTATCCTCTGGTTCTTCTGGCAAGTTCATGATCTAGACCATGTAGAAGTTTAAGTGCACTCCACCCAAAGAATCTGGAGTGCTGCTGTAGCCTCTTCACCCTGCTTTCCCTTATGTCTGTCTATGTGTGTTCAGAAACTACTGCCCCACAAAAACGAATGGACAGGAAATAAAGTAAGAGACAAACAGGTTGACTATGACTCTGGGGCTATGGAGAACTATCAAGAAAAGCATTCTTGGCTGGGCTAAAGACCAAACCAGTGCAGATGGGCGTGCAGACTAGGGTTATTATTTTTCATTAGGTCAAAGAAGTAAGAAAAAAAAATATGGAACTAAAGCCAGGATAGGTCTTTTATTTTTTATTTTTTCCTGGAGCACAGCTGTTGAAAGTAACACATGCTGCTGTACCCCAATTGGAAAAACACCCCAGTGAAGTTGTTAATAGATGGATGAAGTATCATAAATAGCACAATATATTCCGTTGGGTGAACCAATTAATATGTTCTTTGCATACCTGTGTTATATAGTTTTAGATGACTTCTATGGGTACTGTAAACGAGGTGCTGACTTCTCTCAGTTCCAAAACCATTTATTTAAATGTGCAACATTCTTAATAATTTCATCCCAAATCCAATTTCTGAGTAACATACAAATCTTGGCCATATGAATTCAATTTCCAATCACTCACTTGTACTTTGGGTTTAAATACACACGACCTTGATGGTAATAACTGACTCTGTTTCAGCTTTGCCCTGGGGGTTTCAGTTGGGGTGTTAGCTTTAGTTCAAGCACCCTGATCATTACCCACCTGGTTGGTTGATATCCCAGTAACTTGCATCAAATGGGCATTTAGCCTCTGAATTCATCAAGTGACAATATGGTGATCTAATAATAATGAGAGCAGTAGTAGTAGTAGCAATATCTTGAGACACTAGCAAAGTTTTATATTTTAACTTCAACTTTATGATTAACTATTAAGTTTCCCATTAAAGCAATGATTTTCCATCTACTGCCTGATTTATGCTTTTGTTTCCATAATGTTTTACTAAAATATGAAGTAAGGCTTATTGAATTTGATATAATCACTCTGGGCCTCAGTGGTAGAGTTATTAGAGTTTAACCCAGTAGTGTTGGGTTAACTGCCCCAACTGGTTATGTGCCTGTCAAAAGAGTTTCATCTATCCTTGGCATCTTGTTTTAGGCCCCCCTTTTATCTGATAATATGGAAAGAAGCCAAAATTCTTTTAAAAAAAAATCCCATGTCTTAAAGGGATGACATTGGTGTGGTCAAATGGAATATAACTTGTCATTTTGCAGCAACATCATCACTTAATTCTCTTTCAATCTCTCGCAGGGCCTAAATGGCTTGAACCTAAAAAAAACAAAATCTACTGTGGTCTCACCTTTCTGCAAGAAAAAGCACTGAGTTTACTAGATAGAAGACTTTAATTTATACTGGATTCTCACACTTACTAGCTATGTGACTTTGGGTAATACTTTAAAGAAATAATTTTAACTCAAAAGAGTGCTGTTTTATAACAGATGTGGAAATACAGGTGAGGGTGCTTGTAGTAATGTCTAGGATACAGCAGATACCTGACATTGGAACTGGAAAATCAGGACAAATGATTCTATTCACGTGTGTTTTTCTCAGAGTAGGAACCCTAATAAGTAGGTTTGGCAGTACAGGTTGCTAATGCATTTATTTCTAGGTTGACATGTCCCAGAATCCCCAAAGCTATAAGAGAAAGAGAACCCACTCCTCCATCTTAATGAAAGCTAAATTGCAATGATGTAACTATTTTAATCAAGCTAGGATTCACAGAACAGGTGTAGTAATTGACCCACTTCCCTACTATCAAATCTATCACTTGACTTCATTTAATAATTTAATATTACTAAGTGCAAGCACATCACTAACAATCATAATTCATTTACTATTTTTCATTAATAAGGTTATGTTTATTTTTCATGCCTACAACTAGACAACCCAGTAGTATTTTATCATAATTGTCTTTCAAAACATTATCATATCCTGGTTATGATCATATGATACTTATTATTAATGATAGAGTTTTATAATGTATAATTTTTAGGTGGCAAAGAAAATATAAAAATATAAAATGTTTAGGAATGTGGTCTTGTTTGAAAATTTGGTGTAATCAGCCATCTGTAACACATTAAATTAATCAGTGGCAAAAATACTATTTGTAGGAAAGAAAAATGGAGTTTCTTACCTTTAAAAAAATACATTTTTTATGTGTTGAATATGTATGCATTTTAACTGTAATACCAAATAAAACACTGTGGCAAAGAAAGAAGAACTTGTTTGAAAGAAAATATTTTAAGAAGATAATTTTAAATCTATTACTAAAGTAAAATATTTTAAAATTTTGAATATTTGAGAAAACTTTCATGTTCTTATCTACTGAACAAAACTATAGATGGCCAATTGGTGCATTTCCTTTCATGATTTTAAGTTAACAGTTATTTACACAGTGGATACTGTACTATGAATAAAGTGTTTAATTTTTTAATGCTACATAATAAATAAAAAGAAATTTAAAAAAAATATAAAATTATTGGAAATAATTTACAAAGACCAAATTTAATTTTAATATTATCCAATACTAGGAAAAAATCTACAATTACATAGAATACCCATAGAAAGTAGTCCACAACAAATTAAGAGGTAAACATTGCTCTAAAGCACAGGGTAAAAAGAAAGAATTCGTGGCTTCTACTCATTGGGCCTTGGGAGTCACTTAAAATTGGATGCTTCAGTTTCACCATTTGTGAAATGCTGATCTAGATCTAGGTCTCTTAGAAATTGGGCATCTGATGTTCTGTTTTGCTGTGATTCCAAGGAGAAGAAAAATATGCACAGTGTTAAATCTCACCCACAGCCTCTGTGACAAAATTATCCTATTTGTGGAAAATATCATATGCATATGGACTAAAGGTAAATAATCTCACTTGGGTCTTTTCTTGCCCCAAATTGGAGTCTTTCATTTTCAACTTACTAAGGTTCTTAATGATTTTAATTACTAGAGTTGTCAAATTTGGGGATCTGCTAAATTTTCAAATCAAAAAGCAATATACTACAATGTGTTAAACTAATGTAAAAAGCAAATGGATTTATGGTTCTCTGTTCAAATTCCCTGAGGATTATCATTGTGCACAAAAAATATCACTACCGATTGGCAAAAGACAAAATAATAGCACAGCTTCTCAAAAGAGCTTAATCCTTAAGGACAACAGAAAATGGTGAGAAATAACATTTTTTTCCAGAGAATGAGTTTTCCACTGAATAATACATCAAACAAAGCAGGTAGCAACAGAAGGACTCGGAACTGGGTATTGGTTTTTGATATAGTTGTTGTGTTTTCTGACTACTTAAAATAACTAAAAAAGGAATTAGCAGAAACTGAGGGTCATTCCACAGGATCTCAACAGAGATGAATACTGGGAGAAGAAATATGGCTTATGTTATAAATATAGTACACCTCTTTAAAATGCTGGCATTCAATTTTTTTTGTGTGTGTGTGTGTGTATATTTTCTCTGCTGTCTAGGATTCAGTTTCTTCTACAACAGGAATTCTTCACTTAATAAGGAATATGAAGAGAGAAATATATCCCTTTGTGAATTGAGTGATATTAATAATAAAAATGATCAGATGAAGACACATGTCTTCTAGGGACAAGAGGTGTTAGAAAATTGAATGCATAGATAAAATCGTATTAAATTACAGTGATTGAGATGCAATAAGTTGGGCTTCTTCGCTAATTGAAACATTTCTACTAAATTTACAGAGTTACATAATCAGCATGTAATTATTAAAGGGAAAATGCATTATGATATTCTATCCAGATAAGAGACAAGAATATAGGCTTGAGAGGGCAAATAGAAAGGTACTATAAACTTTCTGGGCAGTACTTCATAGATTCCTAGATCCTAAATACATCATAATGCTGTATTCCAATAAAACATTTTCTGCAACCATTAAAGATGAAATTATTGTTCAATAAGAATAGCATTATTTTCTCATATTTTAAATCCTTTATGCCCTTGCAAAGCTTGATCCACTATATTACATGATTCGGTGTGAGATTTAAATGGCCCAGCTATTTAAGTCTCCTGTGGAAAGAATAATGGATTTCTAGATATAAGACTGTGATTCTAGTCCTCCCTTTATCTTAAATGTGTGAACTGGAGTAGCCCTTCACTTTCCTTGGTTATAAAATGAAGAGACTAAAATCTTCCTATTTGCATAAGAAAGTGTAAAGCATAGGTACATGAGACTGGATGATTTCTTTGAAACAGACATTTTACTGATAAATTTTCTTTGACTACTGTTTCCTAACTTATCATGTGTTACTATTAATATTGCCAGACTTCTTAGCTTGCTGATGAGGATTTTATTAGAGCAAAAATCAAAGATTTTTTAGTGTGATCTAGACTAATTTGAATACCTCTGTTTTATCTAACTATGTAAAGTAGCATCATATTATTCCTGACTGATTTGCATATGTAGTCCTGAGTTCCAGTCCCATATTTTTCTTTGATAGTATGATTAATTTCTTAGGATCTCAATTTGTCTATTAATTTTTCATATTATCAATCATAATTAATTTTATCAGCCAGTAAATTGAGTAATTTTTAGAAACATGATTAGGATGACTTATTATTCTCAAAGTTAAAAGATTTTTGTCTCTAGAGAATATGCTTTGAAAATAGTTCCTCTTCTTAATTTCTTGGATAAATAAGGATTTGTTACTGATAAGGAAAAAATGAAGTTTCTAAAAGCATTCATCAACTAGGGTTCAATCAGGGAATTTAGTTCAAATATTATTTAATCCAGCAGAATTTAGTTTAAATATTGTTTAATCTCTGGAGAAAATATGCAGTAATAGACAGGTTAAAATGTTATGTTAGATAATTGAACTTACCTATGCAGATGGTTCCATCATTGGTGATAAACCTGTCTTGGTTATTGCTGGATCTAAATCCAGGGGCACACATACAGTAATAGCTTCCCTCTGTGTTAGTGCAGTTAGCATTTTCACCACAGGGCTGGGTTAAATTTCCACACTCATTATCATCTGTGGATATATCAATTTAAAATGTTATTTTCTTATAGTTGTCATGGAATTCATACTATTTTCCATCACCATTTGAGAATTCTTACTATTAACTGGTTAAAGATAAAGCAACATTTATTTCAAAGAAAATACTGAAGACCTCACCTTCCATACATAGTTTATAATGTAAAGCTTTCTTTATAGTTGCAAAGGAAAATGGTATTTTTTTCTTTCAAAAGCACTAAATTTGACTACTGAATCTATATTGTAATATTTAAAATTTTGTTATTTAATTATGATATCAATAAATATATACTCAAATATGATTTTATAATACTCTTTGTATTAATTCAAAAGAATGCCATAAGATTATAAATCAACATACTCTACCATGTATTTATTTTCATCTTTTTTTCTGTAGCATAATTTTGTATTACTGGTTCTCTTATTAATTAATGCATTTATTCAGCACTGTATACATCACAATGTATGCATTCTTCTCTGTGTCTCTGTGTGTGTGTGTGTCTCTCTCTCTCTACACACACATACACACACACACACACACACACATAGAAAGGAACCATCATAGTACCATGATCCTTACTCTTACATTTTTAAAGTTTACCAGAAAAGGTACAGATTCAGAAACCCTTTTTAAAAATCAGAAACCATATTTATATTATCTATGAAATAAGTAGATAAGAAAATATGTTCTCAGAAGTGATCAAAATGGACTGGAGAAGAAGAACATTTTAACATGATATGAGACCCTGTTGCAGGCTGCATGGGTCTCCCCTAAAGAAATGTTCGATTCTTAATCCCACAAAGTTCGTATGTATGACTATTTTTGGAAATAGTACCTTCAGGATATAATCAAGTTAACATGAGGTCATACTGGTTAGGGTGGGTCCTAATCCAATGACTGGTGTCCATATAAAAGGAAGAGAATCTGGACAGAAGCAGGCCCTGTGAAGACAGGCAGAGATTGATGTGATGCAGCTGCAAGCCAAGAAACACCAACGATGGCTTGTGGTCACTAGAACCCTAGAAAGAAGCTAGGAGGGACTGTTCTGTGTACACTTTGGAGGAAAACAGCCCAGCCGACTGACTTCTTGATTGCAGACTTCCAGTTCCCAAGCTGTGAGAGAATAAAGGGTTGCCTTTTAAGCTACCAAATTGTTGGTAATTTGCTATGGCAGCTCTAAGAAACCGATAGACCTAAATGGAACAATATGAGACACATAATAGAGAGAAGGAGTGAAACTGAGGAAGAACAATGTTGGACAAAATTATGATCATAGGATGACTGAGACTTTTCTGAATGCCTTGGAGGCCTAATTTGAAAGCAAAGAGTGAAACTTTGGAGGACTTTGTTATACAAATATGGCAAGATTGGAAAATTCATTGAATGTTTATTCTTCATTTTAATCAAATCAAATTTATTTTCTTAAAGAGTGAGTTATATGGCATTTAATACATACGGAGGTTGGCTATGACACATATATAGTATACAGCTATGAGTTGGAGATTTTTCCAAATCCTTTATAAATATTAATTCACCTAATCCTTACCTAAGCTCTAGAAGGTAGGTATTATCTTAATGGAGGAGAAAATGAAGCAGAGCAGCAGAGCTAGCGTAGACCTCACATTTAAATTTGTTTTTTTTTTTTTTTGTGTGTGTGTGTGTATGTGTGTGGTGGTGGGGGGAGGGTTGTAGCACAAGACTTCTTTCTCTTCTGATAGCTTCTTTCCAGGCAAGTTGAATTGAAATTTCTTTCCCATTAAATTTTAGTCCCTAAGATATGGTAACAATTTATTCATAGGTAAATAAAGGGGCAGAGCTGTAAGAGAACTTTTGAACTCCCCCTCCTCCTCAAACACACACTGAGCCAGCAACTTTGAGACATGTAAGAGCAGAGTTTGAACTGGCCAAAGTTTGTGCATCATGGACCAGGCAGGTAACTTAAAGTTGGGTAGCTTGTGAGACTGGGAAGTATACACCTCACCTAAAGGATCAAAGACTTCTTAAAAACAGTGTACTCAGTTTTGGTACTTGGCCAGGGATTTTTTTTCTTCTCCAAAACAGTATATGGAGGATGGAGGAATTTAAAACCAGTTGCTAAAAATATGACAATAAAATGCTGAAAAGTTAATATTTTTTATAACATTATATATTTAGTTATCTGTTCTACATATTCAGAAAGTAGAAATATATATATTTATATAATATGAATATTTGACTATATGTATGTAAGCATTCAATCTAAATTAAGTTCATAAAATTAATTGAGAGTGACTCACAAATTGAACACGAGCACCTAAATCAGGTTAAAGAAAAATAGTTCACCCTCATTGAGTTTGATTCAATCATCTAGTTACTCAAATATTTATGGAATTTCCCAATTCCCAAATGTGAATATCTATACTGGGAAATGAGTAAAAATTAATCAGAAAGTCAGGATCTGTGCCCTCCTGTCAGAGTTCACATTCTAAAGGTAAGTTAACACCGATGCATATAATTGAGTTTTTATTAAAATAAAAGTTTTCATTTATATTTCTAAATTTGAGTCCCTTCACAGCATACTGGGAGAAGTTTATATTAAACTTTGAAAGAAATTGTGCTCTCAGATCAGTTATTAGTAATATAGAAAACGATGAGGATTGCATCCCTGTGGACTATCGTTGCAAAACGATATGTAAAAATGAAGAGAAAAAGACTCAGCAGGTCTGAAGTATTGGTCAGAGTCCAAGAAAATGAAGTACTTTATATCATTTGACTGACTATGTTTCTAAAAATAAATTAACAGATGAATATGTTATTTAACTCCAACATATTTTTACTAGTCTCGAGTAAAAATAGGTGGTAAAAAAATGATTGATACTGTTTTTTTTTTTTTTTTTTTGTCTCTCTCTACTGCATGGTTTTGGACACTTGACCTCTTAGTTTCCTTACTGAGAATTTGGAAATAAAAATATTTCCTATCTCTCAATCTTCTGGAATGGATATATAATATGGGTATATTCCCAATGGTCTTAGTGAAATCTTGTTCAGTAAAATACCACTTATCTGAACGTAACCTCACTTCCCTCAAGATACTGGAGATAGGCAAGAAATTATCTTTGTGAAGTAATATATAAATATGAATTATTTAAATGGCATTAAACTTTCCAGTGTCCAGCTTTGTGATAATTAAGCTTCAAGGAGAAAGTTTCTTTAGATGGGTATAATATAAGAAAATAAAAGCCCTCTTCTTTTGTGCTCTTATTTCTAATGTTCAGAACAATTTCCTAGTCATAATACCTACTTGAAGTAAGTCTATATGTAATTTTGGGAGGGATTATAGGATGCTTATTTAGATTAAGATGTTTCTTGAAAAATTCACTCTAATATGGTTAAATTGGAGATAGATTTTTAAAATGTTATCAAAAACTTAATAAGAAGAAATATTTGGCACTTGGCATTCTCTCAGCAAATTTCTTCCTGGCTCGTGTTTAACACACTGAGCTGAACAGTTTTTGACCCTTTAGGTAAGGTGTACTTCCTAGTCTCGAAAGCTACCCATCTTCTGCTGCCTGACACCTGGTGGAGTCAAACTCTAAGTGCCCTGCCTGGTCCATGCTGCACATGGGGTCTCTTTGGAGATCTCAACCTCTCCTCTTGCATGTCTCAAAGTTGCTGGTTCTGGGGTGAGTTCAAAAGTCTTCCCCTATTGTTCTGCTCTTCTGTTTACCCAAGAATAAATTGGGCCATATCCCGAGGACCAGAATTTTTTGGGAACCAGGGATTTCAACTCAGTATGCCAGGAAGGTAGCTATCATAAGGTAGAGAGGGGTCTGATGCCACAGCACAAAGGCAGGAACAAAGCCATGCACACAGAGCCCCTATTTTATTGGGATCCATGGCTACTGGAAAAGATGGACAAAGACCCAGATTATTATACTGTAATGTATACATAAAAATAAAAGAGGCATTTATAGTAGAGTGGAAACTCAGAGAAGGGAATGGTTTATTCAGGTCATGTTCAGTATTAAAAAGTCAAAATTATTTGCAGGGAAGGATTACAAGAAAAAAGTGATGCTTGAGGGGCTGGGGTTGTGGCTCAGCAGTAGAGTGCTTGCCTAGCATGTGCAAGGTGCTGGGTTTGATCCTCAGCAACACATAAATATAAATAAATAAAGTAAAGGAATTGTGTCCAACTACAACTAAGAAAAAAATTTTTTTTTTAAAAAGTGATGCTTGAGCCAAGCATTTCAGTATAAGCAAGGGTTTAGGCAAAGAAAAGGATCGAGGAACAAAGGGAAGAGTTTACTCAAAGCCTTGATGGACTTTAGGAATTGTATTATTGTTGAACACTGGGTCTGAGCCTAGAGACTATCAAGCAAAAAATCTATGAAAGTAAGAATGGTCAAACTGAAAGAAAACACATACTAGGAATTTGGAACTATATTTAGAGGATCTGGTCTAGAATGTCTATCAAAATGTTTTACATGGTAAATATGATGGATTTGAGCTTCAAAAACAATTTTTAAAATCTAAGGAAAACTATGAGTCAGGTAAAGGCAAACTTGATAGAACATATGAATGTGGAGGAACTAATCAAGGCAGAGTCAAGAAGAATTAGGCTATACCTCATCAATATTTAGACATTAAAATTCAGTGATTTGGAAAGAGATAGTAAGTGGGTAGGATTAAAGTAGATAGCTATGAATTGAAAATGTGCTATCTGGATGATGGCTAAATGCAAACATTTTTATTTTGTCTATTTGACTTTTTTTCATAATAAAATAACATTTAAAATATCTGTGTGTCTTAGAGATTAACTGGGTTTTTGAGTTGGCTGGAGAGAAAAGAGAAGCAGCAATGGCTTCCAGGTTCTAAGCTGAAGGGATTGGTGGATGCATTGACCACTAACAAGACTGGGAGAAGCAAAGGAGGAGATTTCTAGCAGATTAAAATAGTGAGGTCACTTTTGTCAAGGAAGGGAGGCACCTCAGTTAGTTGAGGACATTTAGATAGAAGT